GAAACTTTGAAGTTTTACCAGCTAAAGTTAATGATCAATAGTCATTGACTGTCTAGACCATTTCTAAATAAGATAAAATAATGAAACATTAATTACTGAAATAGGTTTATCTGGTTTCTTTTTATTATAGAGAAACTAAATATATTTATGTCCATTAGTAAACATGTCCTATGCCACATTTTAAAAAAGTGTATGTACTATGAGGAAATATATTTTTTTAAATTGTGTTCATAAATCTATCAATTTAAAGAACACTAATTGCTTACCTTTTAGTTGTCACTAGAAATTGAGTCTTCTAAGGGTTAAGATTTCTAATCAAGAAACTAGCCCTGGCTGCTGGGGCTCATTGGACTGAGTGCCGGCCTGCAAACCAAAGGGTTGCTGGTTCGATTCCCAGTCAGGGCACATGCCTGGGTTGCCAGGACCAGGTCTCTGGTTAGGTGTGTGCAAGAGGCAGCTGATCTATGTTTCTCTCACTCTTCGATGTTTCTCTCCCTCTCTTTCTCCTTTCCTTCCCCTCTCTCTAAAAATAAATAAAATCTTTTTTAAAAAGACATATTGAAGAATGTTGAGAACCTGAAGAATTCATCTAAATTGGTAGGTATTACAGGAAAATGCTGATGGCAACTATGTGGCTTGTCCTCTTAGCCCTGGGAAGCTAATTAAACTTCAGTCTGGAGATTACTTATGAAAGCTCAGCAAAGCAGATTTTAAAAGAGCCTATTTGATCAACTGCTCTTCTTGTCATACTTATGCAAACATCAGGCCACATTTATTAAAATGAGACTTAAACAATGAATTAGTTTAAACAATGGAAATAATTACCTTGGCTCTCTTTGATAACATGAGGGTGATTTTAGAAAGAAAAAAATTATGTCACAATAGAAACTATAATATTCCTTTGTAAATATCAGATTCTAGTGCTGTTCATCATCTTTTGGGTTTTGTTTTGCTTTCCACTTATAAACTGGACTAGATCCTGAATTCTTCCAGTTTCCTCCAATACCTGCCTATGACTCTCCAAATATATTTCCATTCTTTTCTCCTATCCTTTGTTTTGCAATTATTGAGAACGCACACTATTTTTTTCTGAGCCTCGCCGTTGCAGACTGCAATTAGACAGCATCCTGTGAACTTCAGAGGAATCAGCCCAACAGGCTGCCTGGTGACAAGGGGCCCACGCTGAGCACCAGAGCGCAGCCAGAACACAACGTGGCTGCGACTGCCGAGACAAGGGGGCTCCAGGGCCGATAAGCGGGTCAGCAGCGAGGACTAGCCAATGTAAACCTAGAGGTGGTTTGAAAACTTGAGTGTATTTGGTTGAGCCTCAAGCAAGCGGTCACTCAAAAGTGAAAATAAATGCAAAATATTGCTCACAAAAAGGAGTATACCCTGACAACCTAAATCAAATCTGGGAAACCATGAAAGGCTACCTGCCATCTGGTTCCTTCCCCTTTGGGGGGCTCCGATGGTCCTTCTACTCCTACTGTTACTTGGTCCTTGCTTCTTTGACCTTCCCGTAAAGTTGTCTCTTCCAGACGCAGCAGTTCCACATTAAGCCCAGGGTCATGCAAGGCTTCCAGCCCATCCCAGACAAGGAAGACCTGGGCCCTTACTGCTCTCTAGGTCAGAGAGTGAGAGAATTTTATTCTTTCCAAGCACAGGGACAATGGTCTTGTTCAGCAGGAAGTAGTTACAGAAGAAGAGACCTCTGCCTCTAATCCCTTTAGAATAAGGATAAAAATCTCTGGGTGGGGGTGGTGGGGGAGGGTAATGAGACAGTATGGGGACTTGGGCCTCGGAATGGAAAAATACCGGCTGACGAGGAAGCCAAGTTAAGACCGGGTGGCCAGAAAAATGTTGAAACCACTATTGCACATGCGCAGTTGATCAAGGTTTGGCCTCCATGCAACCTCCCTGGGGTGGCGGTAGTGAGCAACACCACCGTCTTGCCCCCACAGCACAGGCCCAGAGATAGTTGCCAAGCAACCCCAAAAAAGGAGGAAGTAACCCCACCCTAAGCTGTTAAATTCCGCTCCCTGAACACTTCACAAGACTGCCTTTTTCTGCAAGCCCATCTTTCTTCCCACACAAGCCCGCTCTGTCCCCAGCTTACAAAAGCAGCCAAGCGAGGCAGCCCCTCAGCCAGCTCAGCGGATCTTTCCTCTGTGCTGCTTCCCTTGTGCCTAACCTTACTCTTTAAAATCTGTCTGAAAATGTCTCTGGGGTTTCCTCTCGATTTCGACCTTGGGGAACCCAAGAACCCCCATGTCATTAACAGTAGGAGGATCTCCTTTCTGTGCTTCTGTTCACTCACCTCTAAAATGGGAATGGCACTTACGTGCTTCACCTACTCCCCCAGGACCTGGAACCCAAATGCAGTAATAAAGTGGAACCGTCACAGGCAGGGCACAGGAGCTGGAGACGGACACGGGTCGCTGGCATCAGGACAGTGCCTGCTCAGCAGCGTGTCTGTGCAATCGGGTCAAGTGAGGGTCAGGGGTTCCCTTGCCCATCTTAGTCATAGGAAGGGGGAGGCAGCAGGCTGGGGAGCCGCAGAAGCGGTGCAGAAGTTTGCAGAGCTGTTAGCTCAAAAGAACAAGCTCAAGCAAATCAGGGGTATCTGCGGGGGTTTAACCAGGCTAGTGCTGCTGTTACCTAGCTCATGCACTTGCCAAGTGCTCTTTCTCTGGCCGCTTACGTGGAGGTCATAGAAACACCACCTGCTATTTATGACCTTGAACAACTGACTTAACCCTCCACTCTTAGTGATCCGGTCTGTAAACTGGGGACAAGAGCGTTCAGCTTGAAATCACTGTGAGAAGTCATGCATATGAGCCCCCCAAGTTGTCGCGCACATGCCCTGGCAGCCCCTTGTTAGGAGCGGTGCAGGCTGCGGCATAGCTCTGGCCTCGCGGTAAGTCGCTGATATTGTAGGCAGTTGGGGCAGGTGTTTCTGAAACCTCATAGCCAAGATTGCAAGACCGTCGCAATTTCTGCTGTTTTCCCTTAAGTCAGCAAGCACTTGTCCATCTTCAGGAGAGCGTGATCGCCCCGGACGGCACCCCGGCGGCCGCCTAGTTCTTCATCAGCGCCGAGAGGCAGGGCTCCGGGCCCAGCGCTGCTCCGTCGGACCCCCAGACACGCAGCTGCAAGGCAGCGGGGGCGAGGACGGGGGTCCCTGGGGGCTCCGGGCTCCTGGCAGGTGGGGGACCTCGGCCCCACCTCCCCGTTTCTCCGCCCCACTGGCCACTACTGCACTATACCAGTTCCAAAAGGAAAGAGAAAGTGCAACCTTTTGAGCTCAGTGGTTCCCTACCTTGGAGGCACATTAGACTCGCTGGAGGAAACGAAAAAATCTTCACCTGGACTGCATTCCAGGCCAATGAAATCAGTATTTTACTTTATTTTATTTTATTTTATTTTTTTAAGCAGCACTTTAACTAAATTCTAATGTACGCAAAACTGTTCTGGATCAGGATTTTTCAAACTTGTCCGATGACGATAGTCACCTATATTAGTTTAAAATACAGTTGCTCAGGCTCTGGAATTAGCATTATTCCTGGAACTTATTGATTCTAAAACATACCCTTTTGAAAACATGTATAGCATTTGAGCACCTTAGAAGTCGTATGATCTTCCAGTCAGTGGCACCTGTTTTAATGAAATGCACACACATTCCAGGCGATGCCTATGGTTTGGCAAGCTGGGGGAGAAACTAGTCCCCTGGTGGCCCCTAGGCAGCGCTTCCCAGCCTTCATGTCCTCGCAGTCACCTGCAACCCTGTTAATGACGCAAGCCCTGGATGAGAAGGCCTGGGCTAAGGCCCGAGATGCCACGTTTCTGACAAGCTCCCAGGCAACCTGCACCCATGGGCCTTGCTCCATGTTTGGGCAGCAAAGTTTTAAAGTGCCTCCTTCCGAAGAGGCTCCCAGCTGCTCATTTAAGTAAACTGAAATAACTGGTACCAAGAAACGCAGCCAGTGGAGAGGGTATTCAACATGACTGTGAGGCCGTTGCTAGATGGTTCTCCAGGAAGGGGCAGCGGGCCTGAGGGCCAGAGGGAGGGCTGCTCCACCTTTGAGAAGCCAGAGGCCAGAGTCCCATCTCCCAAGGACGAAGTCAGTTTGTTGCGGGAGGCAGCACAACCCCCACCACTGAAGACCAGCCGAGTTCACTCGTGAGGGAAGGGGGACTCAGGCGCCTTAGGGGACTGGGAGGAAGCAGCCCCGTGCTTCCCACCACACACACCTTTCCTCCCTCCTTCCTTCCCCGGAGTAAACTGAAGGATTCCAAGAGGAGTCTGGGCTGGTGCCGGGCCTGCCAGGCAAGGAATTTGGCGTTGAGGGAGTCTGGGCGTAGCAAGCACAGCGGGAAAGAGCGGAGGGGTCTAACAACTGAGGCGTGTGCACAGAGAGATGAGCCAACGGAAGGCACAGAGCCACAAGCTTCCGGGGGAGCTGGAAGAAACAGTTCTCACCTTTCCAAGTAAGGGCAGCGCCCAGACAAGCGTCCGCCAGGCCGCCGGCTGGGGCGGAGGGGTGGGCTCGGACACCTTGAAGCCGAGACCCCGGAATCTGGACTCTGAGTGGAGCTTCCGGAGTTTGCGTCTCTAACCTCTTGCCTTGAGATACAAGCGAATCTGGGAAGGAGACCTTTAGGGGGTCAGCCCCTCAAAAGGAGGGGCAGCCGTTTTCTTATTCCAAAGGTCCAGGGCCCACACCCTGCCTTCCTGTGTCAGAATGCAGCAGCTCACTTCCCTAGTCCCAGGCACACTGGGGTCTTTGTCCTCTGTCACACTGAGCTCTTAATCGGCTTGGCCCATCACATCACTGGATGCAAAGGCCACAATCCCCAGACTAAGTAGGTCCCCAGCCCGGGCGGGAGTGGCAGCCCAGGCAGGGAGGGATCAAGGTCTGGAGCCTGTACCCAGCCATCAAGAAACTGATGCTCAATCTCGACTTACTTTTCCTTTTTCTTCCTTCTCAAAGACAGGAAACCCTCGAGGAGAAGCGGAAGGGCCCAGAGCCCGGGAGGGGACAGCGGGAAGATGGGGATTGGAATCAGCGCCGAGGACAAGGAGCTGGCCAAGCGGTCCAAGGAGCTGGAGAAGAAGCTGCAGGAGGACGCTGACAAGGAAGCCCGGACCGTCAAGCTGCTGCTGCTGGGTGAGCGGGACGGGACAATGAGCCGGGGAAGGAGCCGGTCCCGCTCCCTGCTGCTCACCATGGACGGAGCCGGGCTCCGGCCCACCGGCTGGGAGGCAGAGGATGGGCCACGTTTGCTCTCCCCACCCAGTCTCACGCTAGGGCAGGGGGAGCCCTAGGGCCGAGCGCAGGCACCCTGACCCGATGCAGAACGCCAGAGCCACCTGGAACCGTTCTGCTAGTCCTTGAGCCCGGTGGGCCCGAGGGACCCACCCATCTCCACGTCAAACCAGAGCCGACAGGCACCTCACGGTCTGGCAAACACCACACACCCTGGGCTTTCAGACACTGACCCAGCCTGCAGTCAGAGAACTCTGAGCCAAGGACTCAGAAGAGGACAGTGGACTCGGAGGTTCTACCATATAGATAATTGGCGTCGCGTAGACCCAGGGATAGGCCTGTCTGCCAAGTACGCTGGTTCCCCCTTCCTGCTCCCAGTAAACCGATTAGCAGTCGGGAGCCAGAGCAGGGAGGAGTGGAGTCTGCAGCGCTCTCCTGGCTTCCTGTCCAGTAGCTGCCTCTGAGGCCCCCGCCAGGTTGGGAGTGAGGGGGTCCTACACCTGAAGGGCTCCTAAACGGATCAGAGGGGTGGGCTGAAAAAAGCAAAGTGCCTTGGTGGTCAGTCAGAGAAACCAAACGTGGGACACCTGGCTTAGAAAAACCCCAGTGGCAGTGCAGAGGGACGCAGCTGGTGTGGGAGGGGTCTGTGAGGCAGGAGACGGGCTGGCTGGGCAGCACGTCCAAGCCCAGAGCAGCCTGGGAGCAGGCGCCTCCTGTCCCTACAGCTCCCCCCTCCCCCTGCCTCCTCCCCGCTGACGTGTGGCATGGCCCTAGGGACACACTAAAGGGGCACGCCCCTGTGAGCGGGACCCAGACACCACGGAGCCCAGGAGGCTGCAGGAGGGGGAAGAGAGATGGCCAGGCCACTAAGAGACCTTATAAGCCTAAGCAGCTTCTTCTACATTCAGGATAAGCAGCTTAGAGGGAATCAGCCCAGGCTAAGGGGGAGGGGTGAAGGCATTGGGGGTCCCAGGCTAGGGGAGAGGGCCGAAGGGTGCGTGGGTGTTGATGGCGGGAGCGTGGCGTGTGAAGGAGGATATTAGGGCATTTTAGTCCATTAAAGGAGACAGAATGACGAGGAAACAAATAGATTTCAGTAAAGGGACCCAGCCCTCTCCACTCCTGCCCTGAGATCTATCTCCTGATTCCAACGGGCGGAGAGGAGAAATGTGTTCCGGGAATCCCCGAGTGCTCCGCGGTCCTCGGTGCGGTTCTGCCCCCACCCGTGGAGACATCTGGAAACGACTGGAAGCGTCTTTGGTTGTCACAACTGTAGGCATGGAGCACTGCATGACTCAGTGAGTTGGAGCCAAGAATGCGGCCCAACACTCTCCAGCGCACAGGACAGACCCCTCCCACCCCCAAGAAAGCACCGTCCAGCCCCAGACGCCAGCTGTGCAGAGGTCGAGAGGCCCAGCTCTAAACCCAGACTGAAGGGCCTGAGGTCAGGCTGGCGGCAACGCAGGGCAGCCGTCACCCCTGCGCTGTCCCTTGCGGGGCGGTCGGGGAGCACAGGCAGTCTGAGGGGTGCAGGAGAATGGGCGCAAATCTGGAGCAAGAGCATTTCTCCCTGCAGGCGCTGGGGAGTCAGGAAAGAGCACAATCGTCAAGCAGATGAAGTGAGTAGGAACAGAGCCCCGAAGGACCGAGGTGGGGGGAAGAAGTCCCAGAGCCCCTGTTGGCGCAGAGGAAGGGATCTTAGCTTTGGAGCCCTGGCGTTAGGGTAGACAGGGCCCGGGGCCCCTCACGTGCACATCCCTTGCCTCCTGACTCTCAATCTCGGGACAGCAGGAGGAATAGGAAGATCAGGTTCACATGGCCCTTCAAGTCCTCCCCGACTCCTAGCCCCTGCGCACGGCTGCAGGTCCGGCTCAGGGTCGGCGGTGGGCTCCCCGCAGGATCATCCATCAGGATGGCTACTCGCCAGAAGAGTGCCTGGAGTACAAGCCCGTCATCTACGGCAACGTGCTGCAGTCCATCCTGGCCATCGTCCGGGCCATGGCCACGCTGGGCATCGACTACGCCGAGCCAGGCTGTGCGGTACGTGCTTAATGGTGTGTGGTTAAGGGCGGAGGGAAGACAGGCTGATAAGAAATGGAGCAGAGCATCATCCTGATACCCCACGGTTGCCGGTTTGATCCCCAGTCAGGGCATATACAGGCATTAACTAGTGAATGCATAAATAAGTGGAACAGCAAATCCATGTCTCTCTCTCCCTCTCTAAAATTAATTTTAGAAAATAAAAAAAAGAAATGGACCGGCAGCCAACAAGTTATGAGGAACACGGGTCAGGAAAGTTTGTCCTAACAAAAATCCCACCTGCCGAGCTTCCAATCTCCCTACTTCAGTCCCAGAGAAGCGCGCCATTCCCACCTTCCCAGTAAAGGTTGGCAGAAATCTGCTGACAGCTTCCTCTGACTTTCTGTCTTATTTTACCATTGAAATGGCTCGCCTCGGGCCCCTTACCCTGGCCTTGGACTTTTACAAGCTCGACCCCTCATTCCAGTATCGGCCTTTCCCTAGTTTAACAGAGCTGATGGTTCCTGGTTCCCATCTTGTTTATTTCATGGGCAGTCCGGTCTTTAAGCTTCCAGTCCCCCGGGCAGAGGGCCACGTTCCAAGGCAGGATGCTCGTGGGCTGAGGATGGAAGGTGGGAACACCTCGGGGAAGGCCAGGGATCTCTGCTGTCTGCTAGGCACCCAGGCCTGGGGTGATTGCTACCCTCCACCTGTTGGAAGCCACTGAAAAATCCATCGGTCTGTTTTCTGAGACAGAGCCCTTACCGGCCACCGTCTCTGCCTCAGATTTTGGCCGCAATGCAAAAGACTTTCCTTGCAGCAGGACCCCCAGAAGCCTGCTGCGAAGCCAGGGCTCCTGCGCAGTCCTCAGCCAGGTTTCTGCCTTACAGGAGGACGGGCGACAGCTCAGCCACCTGGCCGACTCCATCGAGGAGGGCACCCTGCCTCCCGAGCTGGTGACGGCCATCAGGAAGCTGTGGCGGGACAGCGGCGTGCAAGCCTGCTTCGACAGGGCCGCGGAGTACCAGCTCAACGACTCCGCGTCCTAGTGAGCCGGGCTGGGGAAGGGCCGGGAGGAGGCGTGGGCCGTCCTCCGGGAGCGATCGCGATCACCCCCGCCTGAAGCGCCAGGCGCTGAGCGCTGGAGACCCGGGCTCCGCACGCAGCCGGTGTCCCTGTGGGTTTGGCTCTGGCAGGGTTTTACTGCCCTTTGAGTTTAATGCCTTTCCATGGGGCCCTGGGCCGCACTTCCCACCACTCTGCATTGCTTCACACTGGCCTGCAAAGCTGAAGACCCAAAATTCAAAACAGAGGTGCTCTGTGTAGCAGCCCTCAGCCGTCCCCTTAATTCACACACGTCACCTCTCCCCTCAGAACCACGAACTCTAAGCGGTCCTGCTGTCTCCCACATTCTCCGCGGAGGCCACGATGCCCGATGGCCCTTGGAGGGCCGAATATTCTAGCTGGTAACCCAGACTCAACGTAGGCCACTGACCAGAAGTGATGACAATCTCCTTCGCTCATACCCTCTGTGTCCCGGGTGCCAGGGCGTGCGATACAGAAGTCGCCGGGGCGAACCAGAGGTAGTTGGTCAGAGATTAGAGGAAACAACGTTGCAAAGCTGGTACCAAAAAGATGAGGCACACAGAGCGAGTCTGTCAATCCTTCCTCAAAGCATCGTAGACAAGCGTGAGCCTCGCAGCCACACAGCCCTGGGCTCAGCCCGTCCTGTTGTCTGACCTGGTAACACAGTGTCCTCGGCCGCCCCTGGAGCTCTCGCTCAGGGGCCCCGGCACTGCCGGGCACACTGCGCACACTCTTTTCATCTGAAGGAGTCTTCAAGGCAGATAGGACTTTCTATTTGTCCCATTTACAGATGAAAACGGAGGTTCCGAGAGGTTGATTAACTTGCTCAGAGCCATATCAGTAAATGGCCAATCTGAATTCAGGCTGGAATTGAATTCAGGTCTATTGGACCACGCAGTCATTTTTGTTGTTGTTGTCGTTGTTGTTGTTTTTTAGAGTATACCACAGTGCCTCTTGACCCTGGACGAGTCATTTAACTCCTCTGAATTTTCCCTTCCTCTGTAAAAAGGCACAGGGAGCAGAGCCTTGTGAGGGCGAGCGGGAACGCAAACGCGAAGGTGCCCGGTGCCCAGTCGGCCCTGGTGCGGCTCGCCCTCCCCTCGTCCTCTCGCTGCCTTCGCTCCACATCTGCCTTCCTCCCGCCCCCGCCTTCTTTTTTAAACTTGTTTTTTTCTGGTAATGAACAATTAGATACCGAAGTAGAAAAATACAACAAATCGCCTGGCTTCAGTTGTTATCGAAGCATAGCCACTGTTACATCACTTTATCTTCGTCTCCCACTGGATTATGTTGAAGTAAATCCCAGATATCCTGCTATTTCATCCTAAAAGTTTCATCATGTATCTCTAAAAAGGACTCTTTTTTAAAAAAGAAATCACAACAGAATCACTACACCTAGATATTTAATAATTCTAGTAATATTTAGTAATGTCATGAACTCTCCAAGTTTCCCCCGTTACGCCAAATGTTTCCCGCCCCCCCCTCCGCCCCAACCCAGCTTGATGCTGGATGCAAACACGGTCCACGCATTGCAGCGGTTCATGTCTCGTGTGTCTGCAGCCTCTCTTAATCCGCTCCCATTTTTTGACGCAGTTTCTGGCACCCACCGAAACCACCAAATCTGATGCAAGGGCCTAGGAACCCCGCAGCCAGGGGAAATGCAAGGGTGTTACCTGGTCTGCCTTACACGGGGCAGAGCCCCTGCCTCAGGTGGGCTCGGCCCTCAGCCCAGCCCGCGCTTCCTTCTCTAAGGACACAGAGGGGGTTGCAGGGAAGAACCTTAGATTTAACAAAACGGATCCTAGCGCTGGCTCTGTCACGTTGGTTGTGTGCCTGTTGGCAAGATCCTTTACCTTTCCTGGCTTTGGCTCTGGAAAATCTGGAGTCATCAATGCCAATGACTTTTCTCCAGCTACCTGAACCAGCTAGACCGGATCACGGCCCCCAACTACCTCCCGAATGAGCAAGACGTGCTCCGATCCAGAGTCAAAACCACAGGCATCATTGAGACCAAGTTTTGCGTCAAAGACTTAAACTTCAGGTGAGTGCGTGGTCCCCTGAGGGCACCGCAGATATGGACACACGGCCGGTTCCCGGGGGCGGGGGCGTGCTCCCTGCCCTTCGCCAGTTTGAATCAGTGTCCTGCTGGCCCCAGACACAGGCCTCCTACCTTCCTGCCCACTGGCCCCACAGGAGCCCCCCCGCTCTGGGGGCAAACACCAAGTGCGTGTGGTCATAAGCTGGCCATGCCTACGAGAGCAGCCATTTCTTCCCTCAGGATGTTCGATGTGGGAGGGCAGAGGTCAGAGCGGAAGAAGTGGATCCACTGCTTTGAGGGCGTCACCTGCATCATTTTCTGTGCGGCCCTCAGTGCCTACGATATGGTGCTGGTGGAAGACGACGAGGTGGTGAGTGAGGGGCCTTTGCACCGAGCGACCTTGACACAGTTCCCCCACGGCCCTTCCTCTACGTGATGTGCCACTCTAGTGCCCCTCCCCCGGGTGACTTCAGCAAACAGCGACACTCTGTCAACCTTCTGGCAGCCCAGCCAGTATCGCAGGCAAATAATTCTAGAACAACCTCTTCTGCCAGCTCCAGCTTCTGGGTCAGCACGCTGGAAGTCCGGGTTACTGAGTGAGCCTGGTCTCGGAGTAGACATCCAAGTATCGCGTGGAGAGCACGAGCCCGTAGGAGGGACTGCACAGTAAAGGGACAGGGACCAACTCGGCAAAGCAAGGAGTTACACTTAGGAATCTCCCAGGCTGCCCTGGAGGTGAAGGACAGGAGATGAAGACGACAGAGCAGGTGATGCGCATCTTCATGCAACATGATAGCGGGGCTGAACTACTGACCTCACTCAGCAGTCTAAATATGTACCGAGTGCACACAGGGCTAAGGAGAGACAGCAAACCAGGTTTGCCACCTGCCACTTACAGGGGCAGCTGGGTGACCACCGCAGAGTGATTCTCTGGAGCCTGCAGTTTTACAAGACAGGAGCTCCGCAGGACAAGCGTCAGCCCAGACAGTTCCCTTCTGAGCCCGAGACAGAGGATGGCAAAGGCACGGATGACGCTAGTTTCACATCGGCATCTGCCCCGTGGATGGAGGCTGGAGCTTACTGACAGCAGCCAAGGCTCCCGCCCTCCGACCCCGCACTCCCGTTTTCCTCCCTTCTCCTTAGGGGTTCAAGTTCACATCAGGGCACCCCAAGTATCTTCTAGCCAAAATGTCCCACAGGATCTCTTCAAGTCTACGGGGTCGTAAAGGGTTTTGCAGAAGTATCGGCAGTGACAAAAGGCTACAGATTGGCTCGTCAGCAATAGGAGAAAAGACTGAACTTAGCTAATAGCATATATACTTCAGGACTCCGAAGACCTGCCCGCTGAGGACAGGCTGGTCTGGGGCACACGGCAACCCCTGCGCCTGCAGACACATCGCGCCTTTCTCCTCTGCCCACAGTGGCGACCGGGGAAGGACAGAGGGCGGAAGTGCTTGTGCGTGGCCGTGGGAAGTTCCCCCGCCCTCGCCGTGGGGCACCAGGGCCCAAGAATCCCTATTAAGTTCCTGCCCAAACTGAGATCCAGGGCTCTCTAACAGAAACTTACCAAAACCCTCCGGGAGACACGAACGGGCACCCGCGAACCAGGGCCCCTCTTCGACCCTGTATCAGGAGCCCCTGTGGCTGTCAGAACCCTTCGCTGCGCCCTGGCTGCCCAAGGTCTGCCTCGCATCCGTGACCTTCGCAGTCACGGACATCCTGCACACATGACCTCGTTTAACTTGCACAATAACCCTGTGAGATAGGGGAACAGGCTCAGAAAACGTGATAGTGTCTCCCTAGTCACATAGCCATGATAGAAAGATGAGAAGGAAGCCAGGTTTCCTTGGCTGAGCGAGGGAGAGAGAAGCTCTTCCCTCATCTTTCCCTCAACCCGGGAGCGCTCGTCTCTCTGGAAGAGGAGGTGGCCAGGCGCCCCCACCCGCCCTGCCTGATCTCTCTGATGGCTTTTCCTCTTCCCAGAACCGCATGCATGAGTCGCTGCACCTGTTCAACAGCATATGTAACCACAAGTTCTTTGCGGCTACCTCCATTGTCCTCTTTCTCAACAAGAAGGACCTCTTTGAGGAAAAAATCAAAAAAATCCACCTCAGTATTTGTTTTCCGGAGTATGATGGTAAGTGTCAAGGGCTGGAGGCAGTGGCCACGCGTTCTCAGTAATGACTAGTGATGGCCTCGTTTCCTGTGCCAGGGGACAAAAGGGACTTGTCTTTGAGGAGTACTAAGTGAAACCCCTGTTTTGCCAAGTTGATGATCCCTTATCCTTTAAATACTCCTCTGGGACGTATTTAGGAGCTCTGTGATGTCCAAGTGATACTAGGCTGTCTAATCTGAGAAACTTGGGCATTCGGTCATAGGTTTAAATTCCGATGTCTCTGGAATAGAGCAGATGTCAGACGCAGCAGAGCCCCCGACCATTCACACGGTGTCTGCCAGAAACCCGGGGAGGAGACGTAGACGCCTCTCTCCTCAATTTCTTGGCTCAGCCGCAGTGAGAAACACGGTAGTGCAATACAGGAGAGGACCCTTCTCCCCCAAAGTAGGTCCCCCAACCACTAACACAACATTTCGAGGATCAAATCGGCCAACTAAAAAGTAAGTGAGCAACTAAGAAGCATTCATTTAACCCACTTCTTCATTATATTTCTGGAAAACCAGGAAACAACTCTTATGAGGATGCAGGGAATTATATCAAGAATCAGTTCCTTGACCTCAACATGCGAAAAGATGTCAAAGAGATCTACAGTCACATGACCTGTGCTACAGACACGCAAAACGTCAAATTTGTGTTTGACGCAGTTACAGATATTATCATCAAAGAAAACCTCAAGGACTGTGGGCTCTTCTAACCTTCACCCTTTCCCAAGTACACGTTGTACCAACAGGCCTGGAATCTGGGTGATTCCGAGCAGAATATTATAGGCCACGACTCCATGACACGGGGAACGAATGCATTCTCCACTGGACGCAGAGTAGGCGTGGCTGTGACGGCTCTCCCACATTCTTCCCAGAGCAGGGCAGCTGGGGCAGTTAGAGAACCCGAGGCCAGGAGTCGGGAGACCCAGCTTCCAGGACTGGTTCTGCAACTTACTATAAGGTGTAAACATATCATCTCTCTGAGCACTGAGTCCTCACCTATCAAATGAAGATCGTGTCTCTGCTACTTCGCAGGGTTATTCTGATGGTCACAAAGGTAACTGAAGGGAAGGCACAGAAAGGCTGTGGGGTTAGAGTCACAGAAAGAAATCCTGTATTAGAGCTGCCATCTATGAAATTCAATGCCAGGTTTCCAGATGAACTAACCCAAGCAAAGCAGCGAAAAAAAGAAAAAGAAAGAAAGAAAGAAAGAAAAAGAAAAACAAACCCTCAGTAAACCCACCACTAGCAGATCTCTGTGTGCCTCAGCTTAGAGATCTGGATCACTGGAGAGGCGAGTTAGTTTCCAAGGTGCGTATCTAAAAACGATCATCTTTATTAAGCATAGACTACCCTCCCCCATCCTCCATGCTGCCAAAAAAACAGAGTTTCCTTTAGCTGTAAGTCACTGTTTCTCAGCTACACCAGACACTTTCTGAATGAACTGGGAGGATCGCAACACATTGCCGCTCGGAGTACAAATGATTTTATTGCTGCTATTTCTCCATCATAGAATTTAGAAGAAGACAGCAATCCTAAAATTCTCATTTCAACTGCTATGCGTTTCAGAACAAAAAAGGCAGCTGATCTTGCTTTAGGTAATGAAAATCTTTGCGGTTGGGTGGGTTCATGTGAGGCCTGGCTGCAAACAACATCTTCCCAAACAGAGCGACAAGTAAATTACCCCTTTTAACTCCTTTGAGGGGAAAGGAAGCTTGCTTTGCATTTATCTTCACAGGAGGTGGTGAAGTCGAGTACACATTTAGCATTTACAACTACTCGTGAAGAAGGCTCTTGGCATCAAGATTTAGTCTATAAAAAAGAATGTGTCAATTAAAATGAAAATACCCTTCCTTTGCCAGAAACACACATTCCCACTTAGGCGGCTGCTAGCCATAGTGATACCAGAGAGCCATATGAGCTTGAAATACACTGAAGAATAAAATTGCAGCTGTTAAAATTGGATTCATTTAATAGTCTCATTCCTAGAAAAGAAACCAACTTGGGAGGATTACCAGAGAATTAAGGGAAACTACTCTGCCTACTGTTGATTAAAAAACTTAAGCCAAAGAAAAAACCTGGGTAAGACTTCTTGTATCCAAGAGCTCAGGGACTTTTCTAAATGGCTTGCTCCCACTATGACCTACTTGTTTGCTTTATCTCAACATACAGGGTTTCTGAGTCTTTTTTCCTTCTTTCCAAATACAAGGGAAAGTTTATTTTGAAAGTCACAGAGGTGGAAGAAGTGAGCCAGCGGGGCTGCGTGGGCTCAGGAAACAAGTCACAGAGACAAAAGAAGGGCCCTCGGAGCTCAGGAGAGAGAGCGAGGCTACGAGGCTACGTGCCTTGAGGGAATAAGAGGCGAAAGTGGGAGAGGGGGTCCTCTGGAGAAAGGAGGGGGGAAGTTGGGAGAAGAGAGGGGTGAGGGAGGAAGAGAGAGAGAGAGAGAAGGGTGTTGTTTTGTTTTGTTTTGTTTTGTTTTGTTTTGAATGGATCCTTCTGGCAGTCTGAGGAAACCTATGGGCCTCTTCTCAGAATACTTTAAAATGCCTAAAATAAGTTCAGAGAATGACACGGAAGACCAGCGCACCGAATGCGGTTCTGTCTTTGCAGCGCTGAGGCACCAGGTCAGGGTCCGCACGGGCCCCCAGTGTCACTTGTCCCATTTAATCCACCTTCAGACAGGGAAGTCCCCCGCCCCACAATCACGCCACCTTGTTTCCTTCTCTTAGGAACTTTTTCTTGGTCTCTGACTCTGGGCAGGAATTCGTTAGGGGCCAGACTATGAAGGCCTAACCCAGGCTCCCCGGTTATAGGTGTTTCTACAGAGCCTGTCCTAAGTAGGGCCATGAAAACAGAGCCAGCGGGACAGGTCTTCTGGGGGAACCACCTCTAGCAGAATAGAACGGTATCTCTTAACTCTCCCCCTTTTCTGTGGTGACATCCCAACTTTTAGCTGGTTTGTAAACAAAGCCACATAACCACTGTGTATGAACACTCCACAAAAAGTTATTCGGGAGGTGGGAGCAGCAGGGCCTAGAGCATGTGTCCTACAGCTGCCTTAGGACCTGCTTACTCATTTGATCATGCTTGCAACTAAAATTCTTTGGGCAGGTGCACATGGGACAAAATGTTGGACCTCAGTCCTCCACTCACTTGCACCCTAGACCTCTCACCCAACGCTGGGCTCGCCTCTGAGTAACAAGGTCAATGCCGTGGATAGGCTTCCTGAAAGGGCATTAATTCTTCCCCAGTTGAATTGTCAGACCCAGTGGTGGTTCCCTAACTACACCGTTAGAGCTAGAGCCGGTGCACAGTGGTACCCGCACTTCCGCACAACTGGCTTATTTTTATCTCATGGGCTTTTTGATTAGCGTGTGTGCAAAGTTCTCTTTGCATAAAATAGCAGCTAGAAAGCTTAAAACCAAAATTAAACTATATACTCACTCTGCCGTCTTTGTCTCCTTTTGCTTCATTTTAAATTTGCGCTATAAATTGTAAGTACTTTTATAAGTGATGAGGAATTCTTTTTTGTAATGAGGTAGGTCGGAAACAAATATTCAACACTGTTTACATGAATTGCAACCTTACTCATTCTAGGCCCATCATTAGCAATTTACAGGTAACAAACTAAGGCCCAGGGAGGTGGAGTGTCTTTACAAAGATCACACTGCTGGGAGGTAGCAGAGAAAACTTCAAAACAAGTCTTCTGAACCCAAAGCCACAGATCCTTCTATGCGCACCACAGGACCGGTGGCTCCGTACACACCATAAAGTCAATGTCCAAGTTCACATTCTCCTAAGCTCCTCCCATTCCCAACCACATTCTTGGTTAGCTGTGCCACTTCTAAATCAGAAGTATTTAACATAATCATGTCCAAACGAAATACACATCAGTCTCAAATGGAGCGCGAAATTAGCATCAAGCGGCAAAAATAAGAACAGCTTTGTTTGTTGAAGGTGTTATTTCCTGTTCACATCCTTAGAGGGCAGAGCCCAGTGCTTTGCAGGATTCCACACCTGCGACCGATGTAAACAAGGTTCCACTGCATACGCGCACCTGATGCAATTTGCTTTGTGTTTTTTCCTCACAAAAATAAAGTATGATTGACACAAAAGGACATACACCCTATGATTCCACTTACATGAGGTAGAATGACAGTTGCCCCCGGGGGCTGGGCGGGGAGGAGGCCGGAGTTCCCCGGGGGACAGAGGTCCAGATGGGGTGACGGGGTGCAACAATGTGAATGTAGTTAGTAACACGGATCATTTTAAAGTAATTAAAATGGTATGTTTTATGTTCTGTAGATTTTACCATTAAAAAGAGGAAAAGCACACACTGTAACTGGACGTGTGCGTTTGTTTCTGCGGATAAGGATGCATGAAAGCAGCAGACAAATTCAGTCTTAGAAGCAACGTTGGAGACACCGGCTTGTATCGGGTCCTACTCTGATAAAAACAATTCACCTACATGCAGCCCAAACAGCCCAGTCACGGCAGCCCCATCCCCAAGGGAGACATAACAGCATTCGAAACCCCGTCTACACTTGGTGACGTGCCGTGGACCCGAGGGTGCTGGCCGGCCGTGCCGGGTGGGGGTGGTGGAGGGTGGCGCACTCCTAACGCCCCCTGCCCTCTGGACCTGGCACGGTCCTCGGAGCCCAGATTCCAGCAGGACCTCAGTGACCAGCGGGGGCGGCCAGTGTGCCAGGGCCTCCGGCGGTCCCGCCACGTCAAAGCGTGAAGACGTTTCCATGAGGTCACACAGGCGTATGGCAAATAGCAGAAGGGGCCTTTCCGCTCTTGGTCATGAAAAAGTGAGTGCTAGTATGAATAGAAAATTGAAAAAACTGGATTTAAATGCAAAACAAAGACCTTGCACCTGCTCCACATACAGGTGAACTTCATTTCAGGTCATCAAAACGGGCACGTGAAGCGACGCTGGGACAAGAACACCAGCTGCCATGAGTGTATCTGTTGGTATGCTTGCCCTAGGTGACGTTCTCTGTAGTGCAGTACCATCTGGAGTACAGGGAATGCTTACAGGGCACTCCCAAATGTTGCTCCTATTTGATGAGAACCATGGAACATCACAGGTGGAGGATGTAACCAAGCCCACCTTTGGTTAGCAAAACAGGGATGTAAGACTGAAGGTTTCATAGCTCGTTGGATGCAGGATGAAAAACAGAACCCAGCACACCGAACAACTCTCCAACCTCCTAAGATTCGGAGGTCTCAGGACCTTTATCCTACATGAGCAAGAACGAACAGTTAGAACAGGTACTTTTCTTGCAATTTGTCCATTGGGAATCTCTTGCACATGGAATATGGGCACAGGAGGGAGGGTAGTAGAGGTCAGGACAGTGATTTTCAGCTGGTGTGCTGCAAGAATTTTTAAAACATGTAATATCTGACTATTTAGTCAGGGCACTGACCTCTTTTCCCTTAGATTGTCAAATTAAAAAATGACAACAGCCAATACAATAGCCATCCGGTGTGAATGAATCAAAATGATCCTTTTTTTTTTGTCAGATTGGAAAAAAATTTTTGGTGTGCTGCAAAGTTTTAACTAGTTTGTATGCGCCGTGAGACGAAAAAGGTTGAAAATCGCTGGGTTAGGAGCTAGAAAAATCAAGCTGTACACAATGTAACATTCCAGCTCTCAAAGAGCTTAGATCAAGATGGTGTGTCCCAGCTGCGCACTTACTACTTTATTATTTCTGCTGCTTGACGGCTCCCGCTAGACTCCAGGCAGAGAAGACATCAGCACTGGCGTACACACCCTTCTGTCTCCTCACCTGCCCCGTCCCAAGCCCTGCGCCTCCCCACCCACAGCTCACCCCCGCCACCTTGGCTCTTCACCCCCCACCGGTGAGTGTTCACGTTGTCACATACAGGTGGCTGTCACAGGATTTTATCGTTGCTTTGGTGGGCGTGTCTTTCAATTTCCACGGCATAATAAATGCAGTGAAATATTTAGAAGCCCGTTTCTTAATTTTGCATAAAAACTAAATACTGTATCTAAAATGTAGGAACATTCTTTGACCAGTCCTCATAGTTTTTTGGGAGAAGGCACTTTAAGCCACGTATAAAATGTGCTTATCAGCAAATAAAAATAACTCTGCTGTCCACTAGTGATTTTGATGTTACCCGTGTACTACTTGTGTTGTTTAATCCTAGGTCCTACACAGTTGTCCCCAAATGTGAGCCCAGGCTGGCTGCATCAGAACCACGCGAGGTATTTATTTAGAAGTACACGCTCTCAGGACCTCTCAGACATCTTAATGCAGTACGTTAGCCAAGGAATGTACAGATCTTAATCCTGCATCTCAGGTATCTACTCCCGTATCATTCCTCATTATCTTATTCCTGAGAAGACTGAGTCAGGCTAGATCTAGATTTGGCACAGTATCAGAAAAAACTGCCCTGCCCCGACGTGTTCTGATTAGGTGCTCTCAGCGGAAGCAACTCATAAAAGGGCATGGGAAAACTGCTCGGCTGGGGTTTGGTGTTTGAGACCTAAGCGAAGGAATGCAAGAAAGATCTCAACCTTTGTTCCATTACCTTTGGAGTAACAAAGATCCTGGAAGTTGGTTTGGCACCTCACTTCCATCTTTCATTTCCCAATAGTTGATAGCAAGATCAGATTTTTTCATTGATCTCCGAGAGGCTGACTGTCGTTCCCCTCCTCTAGGCAGTCACTGGGGGGTTCCCTTATGGGCCCCGGCCAAGACCCGAGCCAGCAAAACAGGACGACGCTCTAACCCACTGAGCTCCCCAGCCAGGGCCAGCCAGCCTTGCAGCGTGAAGCCTCCAAGCACCCTGGTGTCCTCGTGCGTGTGGACGGCCACGAAGCTCTGTGCAGGGCTGGGCTAGGCCAGGGTCACCTCTCTTACCTGTACAGGGAAGCCTGGAGCGTCCAAAAATGACCTGGCAGTCCTGGGAAACTGAGGTACTGTCAGTGTCACGTATGAAAGACTGGAAGGACTAGGAGTGAAGGGACGGGCGCTGCGTTAGGGTTTAGAAACGAGCAGAGGGGACTGATGTTTTGAACAGCTGGAAGGGGGGCAGTATCAGTCGAAGACAGGGTTTAATTGGAATGAGACCGCCTTTTCCTTACATGTGACTTACAGCAAGGAGCTCCGCACCGCGGAACTCCAGAACTGTGCGAAGCAGGCGGGTGACAGAGGAAGTAACTCGTCAGGCCAGGCCGGAGTGTCCAAAGAAAGTCGAAACTACCAGTCAGAGAACAGTGACAGCATATAGGAAAGTAGGGTGGGCACGTGAATGAGGAGAACCAGCAATTACTGTTAAATACTCCAAAATACGCATAGATTGAAACAAACACATGGGAGATTAAAAAAAAGAACAAGGCAAGAGAGCAGTTTTTAAAAATTTGGTCCATCTATTCTGAGAATGCAGCACGTCGTGAAAAAACAATCCATCAGTGAAAATAATGATACACTGAACTAGACTTAGAAATTTGACCATCCAAGAGGAAAATGTCATCTCAAGATCCACTTAGGAATAATTGTAAAAGTTTTTGGAATTTTCAACCAGGAGGTGAAATCTGTTGCAGGTCTGAACTCGTAAGGTCGGGAAGACTGGCCAGGAAGAAGCAGAATGCCTCCTCTCTAAGTGGGGTCTAGTGGACGGCAATTGTACAGCTCAAGGTTTAGTCAGTGGAGAAGATATGACTGAGAATGAAATGAAGATACTACCGCGGTCCTTCCTGCTAAGGCCTATTAAATACTGTTATTTATTAAAATCGAATTTTCGTAGATATGTTGATTTCTGGGGTGGTCCAAAGCCGTGGCCACCTGAATTCTGCAGCATGATCCATCACAAATCTCCAGCATTCTTCACAGATAAGACACAAGGCAACCTTTAGTTTCTTTCATTACAAATATCAATCCTTTTTTCCAGCCTAGTACATAGGATGTTTCATACCCATATTCTAGCTCTGCTCTCAGAAAAAAAAACCTTTCCTTTCAAAATATGACAGTGATTTGCAAGGCAGATGATCAGAATGACCTTTTTAAAGTTAAAGACTGCTAGCCCACTGGCCAAGAGTCAGTCTCTGAGATGGATCTGGGAATATCCTGATGTAAGGCATATCTGAAAGCTGCTGACTTAAATTGTGCCCCTGTGTCCAAAAGGAATGTGCATTCAGGCAAGTTTTTGGGGATGATGGGTAAGGGGTCTTCACATAAATAAAGAACAAGTGTAAATGTTGTAGAGGCCGAAATGTGGAGAACTACTATTTTCCACTAACAGGCTAGAAATGAACATATTAGACGTAGTCAAATGAAAATACAAAATGCATTTAAAAATGATATTAATGTTTTGATTATCTGTTATTTTGGGTTATCAACACCACCACCCCATTAGCCCAGACTACAGAAAGACTACAGTTAAGACAACAGTGGAGCAGTTCTCATAACCAGATGATTCTATTTACAAAATACAATAAGGAAAAGATATAGTCAAAACAAACAAGAACTATCAACCCTATTTACATTGTGGGCGTAAGTCAATCACCAACTGAAGCTGGTCATTTTCTTTCTTTTAGATCCAGTTTTCCCAACCCTAAAAAAAAAGTTTGTTAGGTAACACAGTTCACCATCTGCATAGTTACACTTTTCCAAAAAGAGTTGAGAGAGGGGAAAAAAAAAACCTACCAATAAAGGCACTGCACTACTGTGGCTTACTTTCTGAGCCAGATGTGATGACCACCCGACATTTATTTCCTTTTAAACTAGTGAAGGGTCCCCTCAAAAGATGGAATGGAATCTAGTCCTCAAAGACTGGACCCCAAAAGGCACTGCTCAAACCTCAGGCTGCTACCATGGAATGCTCAAAATGCACCCTCTTCATCTGCCTCCCCCAGTGGGCCATTCAATAGGTAATGACATTTGCTGCACACTGCACAGAAAGCCCCGCAGGCCGAGGTGAACACAGCTCTCCACACAAGCACCACGTGAACCTGGAAAAGGGACGGTGGCTGCAGATCACGTACACAGACAGCACCTAAGGCCTCGGGCTGGCCAAGGCTCAGCAGCACCATTACAGCGCAGGACGAGGCCTTCAGGGAACCTTTCCACCTAAATCCACACTCAGACCAAGGCCGGAGCACACTGAGCAGGGGCAGAGAGAAACACAAGAAAATGTTTCCAGAAAGGACTAGTTACAAACAGGAACAAACCTGGACTCTTTACTCACCATTTTAATACTGCTGCCAACTATAACAGATTAAAATCTGTACACACGACAAAGTGGAAAAAGGTCCCAAAAATGCAATAGTTTCAGCAAAAGAAGGTACTAAGGATTACTACAATTAACGTTGCTACAATAAAAACAATGGCAAACAGGGATTTGGCACCACATTTACAAAGTAAAAGCATGCACTGTTAATACACTTTAGATGTTTCCCAACAGAAAAGGCCATGGAAGATGGAAAACAAGGGGCATCTTTTACAAAACTCCCTATGACTGAGACAAACAAGCAAGAATCAAAGTGGTCAATTTAGCAGGGGTGTAGCAGCAAAGTCACCGGCTCTGTTTGAAATTTAGCAATTTGCATTTGATTGGCAGCTGCTCTGGGTGTGTCTGTATCCAAGAAGTTGACTTTATCATACTATAAAAGCATTTATCTAGTAATTTGGTAATCATCATAAACCAGGTTAACCTTCAACCCTAAGCTTAAAAAAAAAAAGAGCGCGCGCACTACAATCTTATTACAGAATTCTCCAATGTAATTACCATTTAGAAACCATAACGGTACTTTCAACACGACAGTAACATAAATTCGACCCAAAAAGCCATAATTATAGCCCCAACAACTAAAGAATTAGATTTTTATGGAAATATTATATTCTGAGCATACCAAGAGTTAAAAACAAAGAGTTCCTACTAAGAGGAACTATTTTCAAGACGATCTGCTTGTATCATGTGCATAGTTAAGACTGTGTGTGTTTTAATAAAGATTCTTTTACAAACAAAGAAATAAAATTTAGTAATTATTCTTCATGGGAAAAAAAATTTTTTTTAAGTGAATTACTGATGGTCTGTTAAGAAGAAAAAATAAAAAAGGGTAAGCTACATATTGAAGTTCTGGGATGCAGCACCTCAACTTCACATCTGCCCTAAACATTTGAGATTATGAAATCCAAGTGATGTCTTGATTCATATTTTACAGCTGTTCCAATTCCAATGTCTGATTTTAGCATCTCGTGTCAATTAAGAGTCCCTAATACAGAAGACTGTGCTGAAGAGCGCGAAGATTCTGCATGCTGCCGCCGCCTCTGGTCCCGTTCATGCTTGCCGCTGCCCGACGAGACAGCAAGAGAAGTCTGGTCTCAACACTCCACGCTGTAATAACTGGGAGAGAAAAAGGTTCTTAATGAGAGAAGGTTCACTAAGTCAAGAGACATCACTGTAGCACTGTTAACAAAACTGCCCGAAATTTTACCTTTTGTTCACCTCCATATGCCTCAGTAAAGGCCACACTCCTTTAAGTTGTTTTTAATGATGACATCTGTGACGGCATCAAACACAAACTGCACGTTCTTGGTGTCGGTGGCACAGGTGAAGTGGGTGTAGATCTCCTTGGTGTCTTTTCTTCTGTTCAGATCCTCAAACTGGCACTGGATGTAAGCAGCTGCTTCTTCATATGTGTTGGAGCCTGAAGCAGACACCCAACATTCTCAGTTCAAGCCGCAACGGCCACCCGCACTCAGCTAGGTCTGGTCGCCCCCACTTACTGACGGGCGGGGGCGGGGCCCCGCTGCGACTGTGAACAGGTTCCTACACTTCTATAATCGTTACCAGACTTTTCTTTTCTTGAGAGAAGACTCATATCATTATAAATTAAACAAAATCGTCACACACAAGGATCCGGGAAAACAAAATTTTAAATATCTCTTTCCCCTTTCATTTAGACTTTTTGGCAAAAAATCTATAAAGTATAAAAGGAAACCAGGTAAGTAGGAGGATGTATTTCTAGAAGAACACAATTGTTTAAAAGGTCACAGAGCCTGTGCTCCTTGAGGTGACTGTGAGTAAGTCACACTTCTTTTCAAAATCATTCCGCTGTTCAGGGGACTTAGCCCCAGAGGTTTACGGCGATAATTTAAATAACCAAAGGTAAACTAACAGATGCAAAGGGAAAGGGCCCTGAATTTTACACGTTTTAGTAAATGTTATGGTATGTGAACTATATCTCCATAATGCAGCTATTTTTTTAAAGATGGGGGAACCAAAAGTAAACCCCATTTCAACATTTGTAATTAACATCCTTAATCACCTGCTTCCTACACCACCTTGTCTACCTGTGAGCCTATTTAGAGCAGCCCAAGCAACTGGCTGCAGAGCCAGGGAAACGCACAAACAGTTATTCCTGTGAACCAGAGGCTATTTCCAGTGACACTAAGCATAACAAAACAAAACAAAACAAAACAAAAAACCCCAAACCCAGCAACTAAGTATATAAACACTAAATAACAAAGAAAAGCTTGAGAGAAAAAGGCATATTACTTAAACAGAATATTTTAAGAACTGAAGGATGAAAGCTTGGTAGTTGCTTGAAATGGTTTTCTTGAGATCTGCAGAACTTCCATAATTTAAGAGAGACAGATGATTAAAAAATCAATTTTGTCTCACGGGGACATATGTTGATACTTGGGAAATCAGGTCTGTGAGAATCCTTAAGAATATAAGCCAACGGACCCCAGGCAGGCTTGGAAGCGCACACCACACGAGGTGTGACCATGAGGGCTCTCTGCTATGTGTGAAGAAGATTCCCAGCTGAAACATTCATGTCAATCCTTATACTTGTCTTAGAAAAGGCTTCTCTCTCATCCTAAAACCCGCCTACTTTCTATATAAATTCACCCAGTGCTCACATCCTGCCTGACTTGGAATGAGTGACCACATCTCCAACTGCCCTGAGAAACAGAGGTCATGGGGCTTAATCTAGAATCTTAACCTTTTAGCTCGATACCTTGCTTTAAAAGTTAGTTATCTGCACTCATTTTTGTACCTTTGGTCTTGGAGATGTCTTTCTTCTGGTTCAAAATTCAGTTGCTCTACCTAGACTCTTTTTTTAAAACACTGAGGTAAAATTCACATGACATATGATAAACCCTTTTAAGCGTACAGTACAGTGGCTTTTCCTGTATGCACAGCGTTACGCAACTACCAGCTCTGTCTAGTTTCAAACCTTGTCCACCACCCCAGAAAAGCATCCCATTCCCCGTAAGTAATCACTGCCCATTTCCCCACCCAACAATGTCCTGACAACCACCAGCCCACCAATCTGCTTTCCATCTCTACGGATGCGCCTATTGTGGATGTATCATATAAGAGGAATCACAAAAATGTGATGTTTTGTGTTTGGCTTCTTTCACTTAGTGTAATGTTTATGAGGTTCATCCAAGTTGTAGCAACCATCAGTACATAAAAAGGAGAAAGTTCCTTTTAATGGCTGAATAAATATTCCATTACACAGACATGCCATTCTTTGTTCATCCTCATCATATCTAGACTCTTGATTCCTTCTTTCCCCACCTGCTTACAAACTTGCTCCATCAGTCACCTCCACTTTCTGTAGCTTCTTTGGCCATAGGTTCTTAGCGCTAAGCCCATAAACATTCACCCTGGCTCCACTCTCATTCACTCCGCTGAAACTGCTCTCAGTAATGGCCAAGCCCAGAGGCCACTTTTCAATGTGTACCTTTTCTTTTGCATACAACATTGTTGACCAGTCCTCGCTTCTTAAACTCTCCTTTAGCTTTTGATACTCTGGCTCTCTTGGTTCTTCTCTCTGGATCCTCTGCCAGCCTCTCTCTCTCTCCTGCCGACAGAGGCCGGCATACGCTCTCATTCCGTCCATGGTCCTTTTCTCTCCTCATTCTCTACCATTACCCTAAGTCATCGTTCTCACTTCCATACTGTAGCCCAAATCAATACACCTTAACCCCCAAGCTCGAAGGCCATGGATGTAACTGCCTATTAGATAGCTCCATCTAGACGTTCCACAGAGGCTCCGAAATCCGCATTCCTAAATATGAATTCAGAGACCAGCACCAGCACCCAATCAAGGCAGGGCTCTTGGAGCACCTTGGTGGCCCCCCACTTCCTTAGCCCAGCCTCCTCACAGAAAGCATTCACAGGGTCTGTGCACCGGGTGGGGGTCACAGCGGCACAGCCCTGGCAGTCATGTCTCTCCTAGGAATCTGGACCTGGGGCCCGGGGACCCCAGTCCAGTTCGGTCTTTTAAATGGAGGAGCCATAGAAACTGTGGCAGGACCACCTTTACTCACATAAACCAAAAAGCAGAAAAAGTTGGTAAGGAGAGAGAAGGATAAAGAAGACACACAAAGGGGAGAGAAAAGAAATAGGGAAAGAAGTGTGTCCAGGGGTCTGGGCAGCTTTCTATTTCCTAGTTCTAACTGCATTCTTAAGATACGCCTGCATTCTACATTCTTGCCATCGCTTCCATGACATATATTCCCATATCTTCACCAGAAGTTTTTATTTGCAGCCAAAGAACTGTTACTAATTCAACTTCCCTACTATCTTTATTGCCTTTTCATGCATAATCTTTTTGAAGCAGTTTCTATGGTATCACGCACCCCACCTAAAACCCTTCAAGAACTGCCCCGGCTCAGCCGGAGAAACCAGGCCGCCCCGAGCACCCCTGCCCTTCTCTCCAACCAGCCCGTGCCACCACTCAGGCTCCTGCAGCCCCGAATCCCTGCCAGGTTCCAGAACAACTGATGCCGGTTTTTACCTCCCTTTTTTCACTCCTTTTTTAAAAACGTATTTTACTGATTATGCTATTACAGTTGTCTCAATTTTCCCCCCTTTCCCCCCCTCTGCCCAGTACCCCCCTTCCCTCTAGCAACTGCCCCCTTTAGTTCATGTCCATGGTCGTGCATGTAACTCCTTTGGCTTCTCCATTTCCTCTATTATTCTTGACATCCAGGTCTATTTTGTGCCTACCAATTATGCTTCTTAATCCCTGTACCTTTCCCCCAATTCTCCCTCCTCTCCCTCCCGGCTGATAACCCTTCACTGATCTCCATTTCTGTGACTCTGTTCTTGTTCTAGTTGTTTGCTTAGTTTTTCCTTTTTCCGATTCAGTTGATGGTTGTGAGTTTGTTGGCCTTTTAATGTTCAGAGTTTTGATCTTCTTCTTTTTCTTAAATAAGTCCCTTTAACATTTCATGTAATAATGGCTTGGTGATGATGAACTCCTTTATCTTATCTGGGAAGCACTTTATCTGCCCTTCAGTTCTAAATGATAGCTTTGCTGACGAGAGTAATCTAGCTTGTAGGTCCTTGCTTTTTTATCACTTTGATGATTACTTCTTGCCAGTCCCTTCTTGCCTGCAAAGTTTCTTTTGAGAAATAAACTGATAGTCTTATGGGAACTCCTTTGTAGGTAACTCTCTGCTTTTCTCTTGTTGCTTTTAAGAGTCTCTATTTTTAACCTCTGGCATTTTAATTATGAAATATCTTGGTGTGGTCCAACTTGTTTGGGATTCTCTGTGCTTCTTGGACTTGTATGTCTATTTCCTTAGCCAGTTTGGGGAAGTTCTCCTTTATTATTTTTTCAAGTCAACTTTCAATTTCTTGCTCTTCCCCTTTTTCTTCTACCACCCCTATCATTCAGAAGTTGGCATGTTTAAAGTTACCCCAGAGGTTCTTAAGCCTGTCATTTTTTTTTTTTTAATTCTTTTTTCTTCCTGCTGTTCTGATTGAATGCTTTTTCCTTCCTTGTGTTCTAAATAGTTGATTTGATTCTCGGCTTCATCCTCTCCACTGTTGGTTCCCAGTAGATTTTTATTTTACTTAGTGTGGCCTGCATTTCTTCCCTTATGTTTCTGCCACACTCAATGAGTTCTTTGAGCATCCTGATCACCAGTGTTTTGAATTCTGCACCTGATAGGCTGTTTATCTCCATTTCATTTAGTTCTTTTTGTGGGGTTTTGATTGGTTCTTTCATTTGGGCCATATTTCTTTGTCTCCTCAATTCGGCAGCCTCCTTGTGTTCGTTTCTGTGTTTTAGGTAGAGCTGTTTTGACTCCCTGTCTTAGAAAAGGTATCTGTAAACTGTGTAGGGCAGAGCCTTAGGTAATCACCAGGGCGGAGCCACCGGCTTCACTGTGGGGGAGGGCTCGGAGAGGGGACAATGCCACTGCCTGGTTTCTGGAGGTTTGCCTGGCACTTGCCTCATTTCCAGTCACTTCACCCACTTCCCATATGCGACTGGCATCCTTCCAGCTACTGCGCTGGTGATGAATTCCATTGTGTGTGGGTCTGCGTATGTTCTAAGTCTGTGCGGGCCCTTTAAACACTCTCCTGAAAATCCAGCAGTTTCTTTCACCGCTCCAACCCCCACTGGTATTTACAGCCACAAGTTATGGGGATCTGTCTTCCCACTGCTGGAACCCTGGGCTATGTGGTCTGGCCTGGGATTGGGATCGCTTGCTCCCAACGTATCCCTCCTGAAATTTATCCACCACACGTGAGCGGGGCACTGCCTGTTGCGCCACCGCTTCCTCTCCATGCCATACTGCCTATCTGTCCCCTCTTACACGCCTGGATGAATGTGGCTTCTTTAAACCCTTGGCTGTCAGACTGCCATACAGCTTAATTTTCTGACAGTTCTGGTTATTTGTTTTGAGATATAGTTATAATTTTCTCTGTGGTTATGCGAGGAGGCAAAACATGTCTACCCAAGCCTCCATCAAAGTACCTCCGTATTTTCATAAATGCTATTCTTCCTTCTCAAATGTTTCTACTCGCCTGTCCGCCTTGTGCTCATTTATCCTCTTACTGCCTCACTCCAAGTAGCATTTCCCCTAGAGAAAGACTGCACTGACCCCGTAGAGGTAACCACTGCTTCTGTTCTTCTATGAATGGACATTTTATACCACAATGAAATTCTTTGTGTGTGTCTCTCTCTCTACAACTAATGTCAGTTTCTTGAGTGCAATGACTGCACCTTATCCTTGTATTTTCTTGAATGCATTTATACCAAATTTTGATTTTTATCTTTCTCCATATTCCTCAAAAAATGAGGACAGGAAAATAAAACAAACTAGAAATCCTGTTTATGTATGGAGTAGCACTTTAGACTTAATCACATACTTATGTTGATACCAGTACCAGTGAACACTCTCCAGAAGGATAACAGGCATTGTTCAAAATAAAAGGCAGTTGTACGAATGTCACTCAAGTGCTGATCTAAGATGGGCATCATCTCCAACAAAATCTTTCATGACTCCTTACCCGTGTATTCTGGGTAACAGATAGTTAGTGGACTCCTCTTTATTTTTTCCTCAAAAAGATCTTTCTTGTTGAGGAAGAGAATGATTGAAGTGTCTGTAAACCATTTGTTGTTACAAATGCTGTCAAACAGTTTCATGCTTTCATGCATTCGGTTCTAAAAAAGAAATAAAGGATGAAAGGTCAGTAACAAAAAGTAAAGATGGACTAACTGTCCATGAGAAAACAGACCAACAAGTTTTACAAGCACGGAACAGCACTCGGGGAATTTAGTCAGGCACTGACAACACGGGGGCGGGCCAGTCCTCCTCCTCTAGTTCCTGGGCGGCGGGGAGGCGGGGAGAAGGCCTGGCTGACAAGAGGGCTTAATCCTGCCCACGTATTCAATATGCAGTCATATCTTTTTAGAGTTAATAGGGCATGAATGAGTGTTTTCAAACTCTAATCTCACTGACAAGGAAGAAAATTAAGGATATTAAAGTTTGATTCAAAGAGCGCACGGATGCGCAGTTTTCCTAGGAGTTATTTTCCCCTTCCAGGACGCATCAGACAAGCTTTGTACCAACAGCTCCAGCATACCATCTCCTCGTCTTCAGCCAGAACCAGGTCATAATCACTGAGGGCGACACAGAAGATAATTGCTGTCACTCCTTCAAAACAGTGGATCCACTTTTTTCGTTCTGACCTTTGGCCGCCTACATCAAACATCCTGAGTGAGGGGGGAAAAGCACAAATTCAGCAAGATCTCACACACACACCTCTCTCTAAATTCAAATGGTTAGAGAATTTCCCGCTATTGTGTATTCCAAACCCCAAGTGTAATATAAAGAAAAACAAAAGAGCAGATAAAACATAGTCAAAATATTCTGTGGTTAAAACAGAACATGAGAAAATGAAATTTCAGAATAATTAAAACCCTTATTTTAGAGAAACAGTTGAGCCTCCCCTGTAATCTAAGCTGGTATCAGATGCACCACGCCAGCAGAATAAGCACTGGAATGGCTTAAAGGAAGAAAGGTCAAAAGACAGGAAAAAAGGCGGCGCTGGCTAGTACGACTGAAGACGGTAAGGGCAGCTCACAGTCACCGTGTGTACCAGCGTGTCGGCCGCCGCCCTGCACACCTCCGGCCGCCCGAGCCCTCGCGGCGCTCCGGTGAGCGCCCGCTTCACAGGCGAAGGGGCGGAGGCACTGCCACGTTACAGAACGTGCCCAAGGGCACGCTACCAACGAACAGGGACTGGGGACCTGAGCCCAGGCACTGACTCCCGCACCCCAGCTCCCACCCGCAAGGCTCCTGCATCTCTCCCAGGGTTTACCTCTTCAGTTAAGAGAGAACATGACAAACCATACATCCCCAACTGGCATTCCCTTCCATAACCTCTCCCTACTGAGTCACAAGTTTGTTTTTACTTTTTAAATTTTTGTTTAAAAAATTGAGGTGTAATTGAGATATGTCTTCCTTAAAGAAAAAAAATATTTTAGAGATTAACTATGGAAAAAAGCAAACTATATTTTATGGTAGGACTCTTAAGAACTCAATATCTAAAAGTAAAACTTAACTCATGTTTTTCAACCCCAAGTCTTGTTTGAACCTAAACAGTAATAACAAAGCCTCAAGTGTTCACACACTGTATGTTCCATCCAGATTAGTTCTGGTCACCTGCTCCCTTTTGGGCGGCTTACTTGATATCCTGAATCAAATGATGAATTTCTGTCAATAATCTCCTCATCTACCTCCTATAATACAAGAAGTACTCACATAGCTTTATTTATTGATACATATATATGAGAAGTGGGGAGAGAAAGAGAGAGAAAGAGAGAGAGAGAGAGAGAGAGAGAGAGAGAGAGAGAGAGAAGAAAGGAGTGCAAGAGAAACATCAGTTTGCTGTTCCACTTATTTAGGCACTCAGTGGTTGACTCTTGTATGTGCCCTGACCAGTGACTGAACCCACAACCTTGGCGTATCAGGACAATGCTCTAACCAACTGGGCTACCCGACCAGGGTACACCTGCACAGCTTTGTCTCAGCTGGTACTAGGATATGAGGAGGTATGCATACAAGTGGTTAGGCATTCTTAAAATACATGTTTGATAATAGTGACAAAATGTTTAAAGGTTAAAAACCCTGCCAACCTGGTTTAGTGTAACAGATCTACAGTGACTAAGGGTCTATTTTTCAGAGATACCCCTGGTAGAGATTAAGAGAAGTTAAGAAGTAGTTGAGTAACTTTTCAGTGTGTGTTTGAAGAGAACAGTCATCTTATCTCTCTCTTTTTTCAGCAATGTGTTTATCTATTTATCTATTTATTTATTTGTTTATGCTATTACAGTTGTTCCTGAGTCACTTTATCTTTTCATGACCCAACTTCTTCTTCTGATTGACCTTGTACTGTTTTTCAACCTTTGGTCAAGATACCTATAATGATGCAATCACAGTTGGCTTTAACACAGGCTCATACCACAGGAAACCTAACATCTTATACTTTACCATGGATGTCTTCCACAAGGAGACACACACTGGTACACCAACAATCTGCTATCCTCTAAAAAGTTCATAAAACTGGTTGAACACCGAGAAGTTCCCTAGGTGGGCTTTTAGCACACATTAACATTCACAGTATCATTCACTAACTGATCAACATTTTATAAACATCACCTCATAACTTAGAAGCATGTAAGCAATTATACAATGCCCTGCATATATAGTAGATGCTCCATAAATATATGAATAAATGGATAGTGGCTTTGCTTAGAGAGAAGAGGAAAAGGAAGAAATGATAGTACTTCATGGCAAGATACCTACATGCCATCAATAAAGTGGGTGCAGCACTTTAATTTGATCTGGCTATTGATTGTGATGTAAGACCAGTAGGGTTTATCTCCCTAAAGATCAATCTATGACAACGTCAACAAGAAAGTTTCCCACATTAAATAAAGGTCGCAACATTTAATTATGAACAGATTACTAATCTTAATAATACACAAAGAGACAATTTATTCTTATAGTTTCATGGGTGACAATCCAAGTGGCTTCTGCTACTCCTGGTAAATAAACTCACCAGCACCAAAGATCAGCTGGTTTTTTTATTTTACAAATATTCGGCTGAACTGCTATTTCCTGTACCAGGTTTCAAATCTGGTTAGGTGTATTAAGATTTCAAGACCTCAACTGACATCTAGTAATACCTAAAGTCTGTGTGGATTTCACAAATCTTTTGAGTCAATTTTTTTTTCCAGAGAAAAGAAAACTGAGAGAGCTGAGCTAAAAGTTCCATTTGTGTGCAACAGTGCTCACTACCATGTTCTACATACAAGCATAAGGAGGTAGCTAAAAAGAACATCATATATTGAAGGGAAAAAGTCTACTTCTAATCTCAAAGGTCACAAAAGCAGAAACAGGAACCAAAGACAGTTCTTATATTTACAAAAAACCATTAACGCAGAGATAAGCTGAAGCCTATTTTAGAATTACTAATGCTGATGAGAAAATCTTTTACATTGAAATACTAGAAAATTTCCTCTAAAACCACCACTGTTTATATGTCATCATACTTCCCCCAAATATCTCTATCCCCAGATTGATTTTTCCATTCTGCACTGTACTGAGAACTCAGTTTAGCATGATACTGTGCACGGATAGGTCCAAGAGCCATGGCTACAATAGCTCCATTCCATTAAAATTAAAAGGATATGCAACCCAGTAAGAAAGGGTTGCCAGTGGTGAGAAAAGCATTGCTATTTTAATGCCAAAACAGCAGGAAAGGCCCTGGGACTGATTTTTTGTCCCTTTAGTATTGTTGTTACCCTTCTAAACAACACTCAATACCTGTTTTCTTGGTTCCAACAAAAAAGCAGCTGAAAAGAACAAAATTAAAAAGAAAACACACCAGTAACCATACGATTACTTTTATGGATACCTAAGTTATAATTTAATTTTGAATTTAGTTCCTCCAAACGGACAGAAGTATCTATGCTACTTGGAGAAAGAAGAAATGCTTGGGTTCCCACAGTTAAAACATTCCAACACTGGCTGATGAATATGATCAGTTTCTAAACCAAGAACCACTCACTGCCTAGAGAAATTTTACCTCGATTAAGAGATACTAACTAAAGAAAAGAAATCTTTGTTTGGCACATCCAGCCAAAGGCTAACGACTTACTTGAAGTACAGGTCTTTGAAGGTGAAGTGCGTCTCCACAATGCCTGTGGTCTTCACTCTTGTCCGCAGGACGTCTTGTTGAGTTGGAATGTAGTTGGTTTGGGATATTCTATCCAAATCATTGAGGTAACTAAATAAAATACACAGCAAGTCAACACGCTAAACTAGTTCCTTGCCAAAAGCAGACCCTAAACTAAAGTGGCAGAGCAGAATCAGATCTTCAGCATCCCAGAAATAAGAAAATGTGAACCTAGAAAAGGATAATCAAAGTAGGTTCTTTATACACTGCACAAAAGTGGTTTTAATTCTACCAGAATTAAACTGTGAAGGCCAATTAAAAATATGGAAATGTCATTCTTCTTAAAGATTCCTGAAATTTAACATTGAGTCAACTGTGCATTGCACAGTATAAAAAGCAAAACAAAAGCCCCCTGACATTTAAAGTTAATGGGTTATTTGTCTGTTTAAACACTTGGTAGGACATTAGAGAATGGTGTTTGAGTTACTGACATTACAAAGACAACTATGCTCAATGAGTATTTCTGGAAGGGATTAGGCAAAGAACATATATGTACAGCCCATGGACACAGACAACAATGTGCTGACGGTCAGAGAGAAGTGGGAGGCGAGTCCAGGAGGAGAAGGAAGGGAGACATCTGTAATGGCGTCAATAATAAAAATAAAGGGAAAAAACAACAAACATTTCCTGTTTTTATTTATGAAACTATAAGTTGAGGTTTTTTAAAAACTGAAGCCAAAAACCAACTGTAAAGAAATTTAGTTTTTTCAATGAAATAATTAAAAGACTGCTTCACAGCTAAATTAAATTCGTCACGATTTCAGGGTTTCTAAAGGTTTTTTGGCCTGACAAGTGAGGAGCAGGCAGCACCACTGTAAGTGAACCTCTAACAGGAATCAGTCAGGCTCGGACCCACAATTAGGGAAAAATAACTTTGTAAGGCACATCTTCAGGTGTAGTTGGAGGATTCAGAGTTTATAGATATGATTTAAAAAAAAAAATCACAATCTAGCTCTGACAACTACTGGGAGAATTACTTAAACTACCAATTATATGCAATTTAAAAAAATTATTATAAGATGGGCAAGAATCCCGATATGCTTCTACAGTCAAGTTTTCTCTTAAAGAAAAGTAAGTTTTTCAAATATCATTTAATTTCTTCTTATAACAATTTAAGCTAGAATGAGGATGGGAAAAGTAGGAAAACATTACACCGGAGAAAATACCTTAATGATTAAGAGTGTCTCCATTTAGTAAAGAAATGAATACAAGTAACAAGAGCTCACCAAGAAAAATATAACCAGCAACATTGAAAGAAAAAACAAACCTATAGTAAGGAGAGGGAAGGAGGGAGGGAGTAACCAGGTAAAGATGGGGAAGGGTCAAATCAGAGAACATGTATAAAGGACCCATGGACAAAGCCAAAGTGGGGAAGGGTTGAGGGTGGGAAGTGGGGGTGGGTGGGGCGGGGGAAGTGGGGGCAGGAAAATGGAGACAAATGTATTTGAACAATAAAAAAATAATAATAATAACTCACCAAGCCCCCAAAATGCATGTTAAAAAAAAACAATATACTGAACATAGGTCTTATAAATAAACATGGCGTAAAAGAAGCAAAACAGGGTAGCAGGCTATAGCTTAAAAGAAGTATTAATTACAAATTTTCTAAAACTACGTAACACTCAGGAGAATTTTCTTGACAAACAGATGCTTCAACTTCACTCTGAGACGCAACATTCTTTCTATATAAAGTCTGCTACTGTGATCTGGCAAAAAAGATTTGCCAGAGAAAGGCACAGTGCAACCAAGCCACAGAGAGCTGGATGAAAAACGGAAGGACACAACTCTCAGTCCCCTCGTTGGCTGGCACTGGGTGCAAAGCCCTGACGCAGAGGGAACCTCCTGGGCTGGAGGAGAACCAGGACCCGGCACCAAGAAACGTCCACCGGTTTTGCTTGCTGAGCGTAAAGCACCACAGAGCTACTGTCCTGGCATCAAGTCTCCCATTTACATTCCAAGAGGAAACGGCTCTCTCCAAGTCATACAAAATGACCAAGGGCTCTATAACTAAGCTGAAATAATCTTTGTAAGGAACCCACAGACTTCGAAGAGCATCTGTTAGTTGAGCATCTCCTTAAGGATGGGCAATTAACTTCCGCTAGAGGCAGATTATTTTGTTATAGTTTCATAGAGAAAAATTACTTACTATGAAGCAGAGTCATTGAGCTGATACTCCCTGGATCTGCAGAAGCAAGCCTGCACCCCGCCGTCTCGCCACAACCGCTTAATCACTCCTGCTAGCTCTGGGGTCATGACTCCTTCCTCGGCGCTGCCGGCTAAGACAAATAGCTGCCGGGCGTCGTCCTGGAGAGAGAGACAGGTGATGCTCCGCTGCTCCCGGACTCGGCGGCCGTCTTTAACACACGTGCGTGCACACACTCACACAGCATTACGTACTGTATTATTTTAAACACAGTATTATAGAGACCTATGGTGGCAGGGCAGGCCGAGAACTGACACGAAGTCTCAGTCCGTGTCCCCTACAGTGGGCAGTGCAGAGGTGAGCGGAGGACGGGCTCCACCCCCCCGCCCCGCCTCCACACACCGCCATCCCTTGCGGGGGGCGGGGGGGGGGTCCCTTCTGACTGGCCTACACCTCTCCGTCCTGGCTATTCATCAATTTGTATGGAAAAGCTAGCCTGTGAGACAGACTCACGTAACTCATTTTCCATTCTGTTCAAGGAAGCCTACAATGAAAATAGATGAAAAGACTAGGTAAGAGGTGAAATCTACACGCGTCAAAGGGAGTAAGACAAGTTTAAGGAAAAAGTGTTCTCTTCTCTCCCCTTCAGGTCAGACAGGGGAACAGGCAGAAGTGGAAGACTAAGGCATTTTAGAAGCCTGGAAGCCCAGTGGGGGAAATAAACCCCTCAGGGAAAATTCAGTCTCTAGATTTTTCCTAGAGAAATAATAACCCTCTAAATAAGATTTGGCAGGGGGGGGGGCGGGTGGAGGCAGCAGGAGGAAAAGACGGTCACAAGGAGAGATTTGATCAAAATGGCATGAACCATAGGCATAGCTTCGTAAGTGGTTATAGACCTAAAATATGGGAGAGGGAGAAATGACCGAAGGGGCTATGCGAACTGTGCCTGTTTTGCTTTAGTCTTCTCAGCCCTAAATGTCAGATGGTATAAAAATGAACACCGGTCTCATGGGACGCTTCCCCACTCTGCTCTGCCTCAGGACGTTTCCAAACGACTATGTAAATGCAGATACTAAAAAAAGCATATTCCAGGTAAAGAAAAAGTAAAGGGGGGAGAGGAGCAACTGATCGTGTCACAAGTCGTCCTCAAGACAGTAAAACAGCCAGCAAGAAGCATTTCAGGCAGTAGGTGCAATCCCAACCAAAAAATCCTAAGACTTGTGTATCCACGTAGGCAAAGCAAAGCAAAACCAAACCAACCAGAGTGTACACCAGGCACCCCTGCCACACAAAGCTATGTGTGTCTTCATAAGCTATGGAATCTTGATATTTTGTTATTGCAATCAAACAGAAACTGCATCTAGTGACAAAGGAGTGTCAGGATCCAAAGATTAACGGCAACTGATTTGATAATGGAAAGAAATGAAAGGAAAGATGATTAAGAGAGATAAAGAACAAAGGGTAAAAAATAAAAAAGGAAGTAACTAAGTGAGGAGGTAAATAACTGAGATGGAGAAAAATCCAACAAAGAGAAGAGAATAAATACAGTATTACTGGCCAGTTATTGGGCACAGCAAATACAGGGTAGGGCAAAAGTAAGTTTACAGTTGTTCTTATGGGAAGTAATACAATAATTAAAAATAATATAAGGATAAACTGTTTTGCATACTTAAGAACTGTATGCCTACTTTTGCCCCATCCTGTACAACAGAGCAGAGGTGATGGGGAGAAATGAGAAAAGGGAGAGAGAAAATAAACACAGGAGAGAGTTGGTAGGAAGAGGAAAAAAATGAAAAGAAAAGCAGAAGGTGAGAGAAGAGCAGACAAAAATAAACTATTTATTCTTGCCTTAGCTATCACATTTACCCTGCCCAGAGGCTTACAGAAATAAAGTCTCTAATTTCTGTGATGTGATACCTTTTACAAAAACCTAAGAGTTATACCTCACGCATTTCCCCTTCCCTTCTTCTTTTGCTGTCTTCTCGCCATCATTTCACAATCCTTCCTCCAGCCCCTCTCTTCCCTTATGCCACTTCTAAGATCTCCTAGTCTAATACCATCCAGTTATAACCACCCTTGTATTATTTTTCCCTTCAACAGTTTCCCTGCTTAGTTATTGATATTAACTTGCATTTGATGAGTTGAGAGTTGCTTGGAGAAGTCCCTAAGCTACTTCACAGACATAGACAGGCTTTGCCTTCTCAGGCAGCCTCCCCGAATCACTTCCTTTTATTACCCATAGCAACCAAGTATGATACTCTGAACACAGCTGATGACTCCCTTAGTTCTGGAACATGACTCTATACATTCCCAGCTTCTCTTGGAATTTAGCTGACAATGGTATAAAAGATCCCTTCCCCTCATTTGGCCCTCTCCCCACTGTATCAAACATCCTAATTTACAAACTAGACCTTCAGGGCCCATTAAGTATATTATAATTAATCAACACGACTTCTGACTACCTGCCGTGCACGAGAATTATACTAGGAAAAATGAAAAGGACTCATGCACATGGGCAACAATGTGGTGACTGCTGAGGTGAAGACGGTATAAGGGGACTGAAATTAACTGAAATTAAATTTAAAAATTTAATTAAAAATGAAATTTAAAAAAATTTTTAAAGAGGAAATTATACTAGGCCATGGTGGAATCCAATTCTATAGCCTGCAGTAGAATGCAGTACAGAGATACGGTATTCTTGAATACCTGAAAGCTGCCTCTAAAACTTAGATTTGGAGTTCATGTCCTTACCACATATACTCTGGGAGACCGACATTTGCCTTAATCTCTACACCTCAGAAAGCAGAGCTGCAGTCACAGTGACCGCTTTCAGGTCACATCAATTTACTATCATTTGCTACTGCAAAATGAAAAAAAAAAAACAGTGCTGTAAAAGCAGCACATAACAGTCATCACAGAAACCTCTAGCATATCCACAGAACCCATTTCCTAGCCTCTCCTTTGCTAATACTTCTCAAATGAGCACACAGTACTCTGCTACATCTTATCTTGTTGCTTAAATTCACTTCCCTAAAACAGGAAGCAAATTTTGCTTAACTTCATCTACTGAAAAGAGTGAGTGAAGAGGAAATGAGAAACACTTACTGCTCTGGCAGCTTCCCCAAAGTCAATCTTTAGCCGCCCCATGGCCCTGATGATGGCGATGATGGACTGGATAGTGTTGCTGTAGACGACCACTTTATACTGCTTGCACTCCTCCTCGGAATAGCCGTCCTCATGGATGATTCTTTGAAAAGAAAACCACAGATCATCACCATGCACCTAAAATGAAAAGATATTACAGGCCTGCATGCAGGATGGGGAAATGCAGCCTTACAAAAGGCCATGTTTCAACTTACTTCATCTGTTTCACAATGGTGCTTTTACCAGATTCTCCAGCACCTGAAAAGGAAAGAAAACCAGACTTTGAATTCATCTGAAATCAAGCACAAAAACAAAATCAACATGACTGATAATTACAGATTAAAGGAAACCACAGACCCTAGGGACAACTTTGGTGAGGCTTTCTACTAACAGGAAGAACCACGGAGCTCCTCCATGAGTTTTTTCACTTTCTTTACGTAACTCAGCAACCAAATCAATGTTACTGCCGGTGCCCCAGGGCCTACTACATACCACTTTTGTGACGAAGGCATTCTCAAGGGGATAAACCAACATAAACATGTCTAGAAACTCATCCTCTACATGAAGCAGGATACAGACACTGAACATAGGCAAAAATGAAATGACTCATTTTTGGCGTATTCACTTTAATGTCCATGTCAACGCCCATAGACCTGAGGAACGTTCCAGGAGCAATGCTCTCAGCCGTGGGACAAAAGAGGTCAAAGCTGAAGCAGAGGAGGCGCTGTCCCCAGCACTTGTGCCCTCTATACCTCCCCGCCCCCACGGTTCCCTCCTCATCCATCCACGCCACTGCAAGGACCACCCCTTGACATTTCCCCTGCACCGCCCAAGCCAAGTCACTCTCCCACCTTCCAAGACGCCCGTTTCACACCACCTCCCCTCTCAAACTTTACAGACGCCTTCCCACTTCCATCAGCTGACGATCCTGACTCTCTCTTATTGGAAAGTTTAAAACACTCAAAAAACAACAACAACAACAACAACACCCTCGTTTCCCCATAACCGAGTCCACCGTTCCATCTGTACCTCCACGAATGTTCTCTGCCTCCATCAATGGATGAAGTGTCTCCGCTAACTCTGAGATTACTCTCTCCAATCGTGCACTTATCCGCCTCATTGTACCTGCTCAAGATCTCGGCTGCTACAGTTATTCTGTCATGCAAATATCATTAAGTTTTCTCTTCCCAGTGGGTCACTCTCATCAGTATACAAACTCACTGTATTATGCTCCATCTCAAAATCAGCACACGCACACCCCGCTCCTACCTTCCTGGACTCACTTCTTCCTCCAGCTGCCACTCCATTTTTTCCTCTTCCTCTCTACAACAAAACCCCTCTGAGCTGTCTATACTCACGTTCTCCAATTCTGTGCCTCCAGTTCTCTAAGTGACCCGCTCCGGTCGGGTGTTCATACCCATCACTCCACTGAAACCACCTTTCAAGGTCTCCAATAATTTCCCTCTTCACAAACCCAATGGTCAAGTCTCAGTCCTTGTTTGTCCAGGTCGACGACCTCTCCCCGTGAAATACTGTCTTCACTCGGCAGGCTCCGAGCACCCACATTCTTGGACTCCTGCCCCACTACTTCTCAGCCTCCTCCCTCCTGTCTCTGAATTCTAAAGGCTGTACGACCTCCTCGGTTGGCCCTTTTCTCAATCTACATTCATTCTCTAGGTCATCTCATCTAATTTCACGGTTTTAAACACCATTCATAAACTGATAATAACAGTTAACACCTGGTGAGTACTAAGTGCCAGACACTGTTCCCAACCCTTTGCTTGTATTAACCCAACTAATCCTCACACTAACCCTGTGCAGTAGATATTACTATCCCCAGTTTACAGATGAGGTAAATAAAGCGGAAAGATGTCGAGTTAGTGTCCACAACTGCAGTAAGTGGCAGAGCTAAAAACCTGCCCTCTCACAGCGTGGCCCTGACGTTGTTGTACACTACCTCAGCGCTCATGATTTCCAAACTCAGATCTCTGATTTTGGCTTCTAACCTCGGCTCTAGCCTCATTTATCTAAACCACCTACCGGATACACCTATCTCATTAGATTTCTATTAGACATCTCAAGTGTAAAATACCCAAAACTGAGTTACTGCTTCCCCTCATCCTCTGCCCTGTTTCGTCGTCTCAGTAACTAACATATAGATGAAACGTGGATGCCGGTGCCCATGTGTATATTAAATATTAGTAAAGTTTAATTTTTTAACTAAATAAATATACAGCTCTAACGGTTTCTTCTTGCACCACATGGATCATCGTAAGCACAATGGAAAGGCTATCACTGCAAAAGCTTCCTAAAGGCTCCAACGCTTGACATTTGTAAAATGTAAACCAGATCCTGTCACCACTCCGTCCCCAAATTCTCCTATGGCCTCCAGTCACACTCAGAATAACACCCACAGGCAGAAGGCCCACGGTGCTCAGGCGCCTGCCTGCCTCTCCACCCTCGCCTCTGCCACTCGCGGCTTTGTTCTCCCTGCTCGTCAGACCAGCTTCCTCGCTCTCCCTCCAACATACCAGACTGGTTCCCAACGAGCCTGGTCCTGACTCACGGCCTCTGCGGTCACTACTCCCTCTGCCCGGAAGAAGTTTTTACAAAATGGTCTTTGTCCTTTAGAACAGCCCCCTCTGACCACCTAAAACCCCCACCCCGTCACCCTCTCTCCCCTCATTCTGAGCTATATTTTTCTCCAAACGCATGTCGCTTCTTCACATTACAGATTTGTTCATTTCCTGTCTTCTCCACTAAAATAAAAGCTCCATGAAGGTTTATGCATCCCTGTATTCCCAGGGCCTAAAACCGGGCCTGACATAAATCGGTCTGCAAATAATATTGCTGAACAGATAAATGACTCATGTATAGTACATACAATCCTTTACTAAATATTTCTCAACTCTACCAACCAAACATATTAGTTAAAGATCGAATAACTTAAAAATTCTAAATTTCTACATTTTTACAGAATCAAAAGGGACATTTGCATATGATTTTATTTCTGTTATCACCTAATCAATAATCAGGACTAGCACTAAAATAGCACCTAGAGAACTTCCCAATGACACTATCAGAAGGAAGAGATTTCTCCTGTGCAGATCTAAACACAAAAAAACCAAACAAACCAAAACTCTTAATGATGAGATTTCAAGTCTAGGGAAGACAATATAAAAGCATACCAGTTATATTTTAAATAGTTTAAAACAGAACTACCAAATTATCCCATGTTAGCAATGGCAACTAAATTAACTAGGAAAAGCAGAGATTAATTTAGTAATCCACACCATTCTTTTATATATTAAAATCAGCATTTCTACCACTTATGCTGGATGATTTTGAGTGAAATAATCAATAATTCTATTAATCTCAGGGTCCATTTCCATCCATCTCATTAAGTCCTATCCTATGAAGGTGCTGATTAAAAAAAAAATATGGAAATACATTACTCTACCTCTGCTATCCCAAGATTCCCTGACAAAGTGTCTGTTTGTCCTTCTCTTCATTATGACACTATATTTTGATATTTTCACCCAAGCTTTTTTTATTAGGTGTCCAGTTCCATCTCTTAAAAGAAGGCACCTCTTCCTGACCACAGAATTGAGCAAGATTTGTATCAGTGGGTGTTTGCTCCAGGGTATTTCATACAAATAAAGACTGAATCGTTTTATACCAAAAGTGTTGGACCCATTCGGCTTCCAGACCACCACGAAAAGCCACCATCTTATCTTTCTTGCAAGCGTGAAATCTAAGAGTCATCTGGAACCCTCTCTCTTCTCTCCTTACATGAAGCTGTAACAAAATCTTCTCTCTCCTTATGCATTGCTCAAATTAATCCTCCCTGCTCCTCACATGCCTAACTAAGCCCGACGTGGGACCTTTGGAAGGTGGCTGCTGCTATTTCCTCACACTTCTAGCTCGGAGCCCCCCTTTCTTTCTCATCATTTCCAAACTCTAACATTTTCTATAACCCTTTCTTATTAGGTCTGAACTCTTCATTTTACCTCAAACCTCTGTATTCCACTGCTTCAGCACTGTTCTCCGCTACTAACATCTCACTCTTGGGCTCCCCAAGTCTCAGCTCCCTCTCTCAATACGTCTATGGTGTTTGAAACTTCCTAATTTCATTTACATCTCTTTACCTACCATCCTTCAAAATTCATCACAAGTTTAAGGGGAGACTCATCTGCCCACTGTCCACCTACCAGGGCAGCAGCCACAAGGATATAAGGAACAGGATCGATACAAAGGAACGCAAAGACAGAATCCAAGGTTCGGAGAGGACCAAGGATGGCCCCACAGACAGAAGGATGGACCTGGGCAGGGGGCAGGGATGTATCAGAGAGAAGTCTGATCGGTCCAAGAGAGGCAGGAGGGAATGGGATCAGTTTGACTTAGAAGATTTGTCCTTAGAACAATATATAGCTAAAGGTCATCCTACATCAATAGGGAGAAAGGATGAGAGGTAAAGCTGCGGAGATTTTTGAAAGAAAAAGGGCAGAAGAAAGAAGCTAAGTTAGATGGTCTTGCTCCCAACACAAGAAGCAAGGCAATCTTCAGAGAATGAAGGGGTAGGACTAATTTAGAAAATCATCTTAGAAACAATCAAACACAACAAGTGTGTGTACAGGTAGGTTAGCATGATGACCAAAACTGTTAAGATGAAAAACAACTCACCGGTACATACTGTATTCTAGAATCATTGTATTTACCTGAATGTGTTCTAAATTTTATTTTTAAGGAGCTCATTGAGAGCAGGCACTATATTACACGCGCCCCTCCTCCTACCCGTTTCTGCCCATCACACACTACACCAAGAGGATGGAAAATGAGAGACGGTGATGATTTCTTTGCAAGATTTTTCAAAAGGCCTGTGAGTTGCTAACGGAAATAAATCACTGTCACATAAATAAACACGTTCCGCTCACAACACACTGACTTTAAAAATCAACCCTGAAAGATGGCTGATCCTCAAAAACAGTGCCATCCGATGCCTTTCCTTTTTTCCCCTCTTTTATTTTGACTAAAATTCAAAGCCAGTCCACAGAAGGTATGTGAGCATATCCTGCTCCTTTACACTTCTGTGCCTTTAGGGCTTTATCTGTAAAATGGATCAACTGAGGAGGTTTAGAACAGTGTCTGACACAGTAGATATTCAACAAATATTAACCAGCTATTATTAAGGCTGTTTCACTGTCAGAGTACCGCTGAGCAATGTTAGGGCCCATGGATCGTTGTTTGATCAACACTCC